CTGACATCCCTCCCCCAGCACCCCTCCCCCCAACTTAACTTTTTTATTGCAGGTTCGTGGTCCTCTAGGGTAGCGCAGCACAACCCCGCCTTCAAAAAAAAAATAAAAAAATTCCTTGTGTTTTTGCGTCGCCCGGTTTCACCGGGCGGACCCCCCTGGGCCCAACCGGCCGGGCATGCCCGGCCGGGCGGCGGCCCAGCCTAGATAACAGGTCCTTGTGGTCGAGTGTTGTCAACTCTTTCCTGTCAAGAAATTGCTTTGGAAATTGGATTTCCTTACCTGATACTAGGCTGATAGTGATTATTCTTGTATTGCCAATAAAATTGAATAAATTTATTAAATTTTATTTCTGTCTCATGTGTTGAGAAATTGTATTGGAATTCCTATTTGTATACAATTGCCATGTTTGGGAGCTTGGCCTACCGGATATCTTTGGCTGGCTGGCTGGCACAGCCAGCCGAAAAAGAAAAAAAATTGCGCTGTGTGTGCTCAGTTTTGGTTTTGACGCATACCATGATTCCATCAGGGCTCCAAGTCAGGTCTGTTAATCAACAGTTCGCGGGTGTACCAATCAGCCACATGAGCTGGGTCTGATAGTGATTCTTCTAGTATCACCAATTTTTTTTCTTCCCGTCATTTGCGTTTTGAATAACTGTTTAGTTGTCAAACTTGTCCTAATAGCTTGATGCGAGTTGGCAGTGATTATTCCAATCTCCCTGAGGACATACTCACACTAGCACTTTCCTGAACGCATCTTTTACTGCAATTACTCCCTGCCGTGGATGAATGTGACTGCAATCACGTCCAGATCTTAGTAGAAAACGTGCTTGTGTGAGTAGGCCCTAAGAACTTCTCTCTAAGAAGAACGTGCAGCTAAGCCGCTGCGTACTTTGTCTCCTGCGTCTGTCTGGATCGTGTTATCTTTTGCCGTCTGATGCGATTAGATTGCTTCCTACTTCACCGATAAGCTTCTGCGAATCGTTAAGGACGTTCAACGACACGTGGGATTGAGCAAGCGCAATGTGGAAGGAGACGTCAGCTCTGCTGCCACACCGCTGTCGACTCCAGCATCATCTCAAGACTTCGCTGTGCAAATGGGTGTTCTCATCGATAACCATAGCCCGGCATTGGCCTTCATCAAAACAATATGTGCTGTCATGATGCTCGACCAAACGGTGGACCAGAAAGTACGGGTATGTGTTTCGTCCACAATGTCAATGTGCTGAGATGGGCGTGGACTGCATTTGAGCAATGCTGCTCACTACAATTCTTCTTCTTCTTGTTCTTCTTCTTCTTCTTCTTGGAGGCACGACGATCGATGATAATTGCTTCTTCTTCTTCTTCTTGGAGGCACGACAATCGATGATAAGTGCTTCTTCTTCTTCTTCTTCTTCTTCTTCTTCTTCTTGGAGGCACAACAATTGATGATAATTCTCCTTCTCCTTCTTCTTCTTTTCCTCGTTCTCCTTCTCCTTCTCCTATCTCCTTCTTCGATGATAATCGCTTCTTCTCCTTCTCCTTTTCTCCTCGTTCTCCTCCTTCTCCTATCTCCTCCGTCGATGATAATTGCTTCTTCTCCTTCTTCTTCTTCTCTTCCTTCTCATTCTTCTTCTTCTTCTTCTTCTTCTTCTTCTTCTTCTTCTTCTTCTTCACGAAGGCACGATGATCGATGATAATTTCTTCTTCTTCTCCGCCTTCTCCTTCTCCTTCTCCTATCTTCTTCTTCTTCTTCTTCTTCTTCTTCTTCTTCTTCTTCTTCTTCTTCTTTGTCGTCGTCGTCATCTTCTTCTCCTTGTTTCTTCTTTGTCGCCTTCATCGTTGCCGTCGTCATCTTATTTTTATTGTTATTCTGATCATTATGATTATACCATAGTACTATCATTGCATTATCATATTATTCAATGCATCGTCTATTGCTTTATTATTAATTTAGTACTATCTTAATTATCTATTATTTACTAATTATGTTCTTCTTCTTTGTCTATCCGGCATGCGTTCTTCCCTTCCCTTCTCTATTACCTCTGATGCCAATTACTGGCCACCTATGTTGCATGTAGGCCGCGGCCTGGTTCGGCCACGGCCGAACGCGGCCGATAATTAAAAAAAAAAAAAAAAAAAAACGGGTTTCGAG